GTTCTTTCATACGTGTTTTATGAAACCCTCTTCAAATTTATGAGGTAAGTGTGGTCATACGTTGTATGTTAGATCAATTTATGAATATGATATTGATCTTATATGCTTAAGTTCAAAGGACGGGAGTTTTGTAGCGTTAAGTACGTGAATTATACCCACAAAGCACGTATCTTAATTTTCATGTCTCCCAATGTAATTATGTACGGGGATTATGGCCATCTAAGTTCGGTTTCTAGTTTTTGTCTCCCCCTATGTACGTTAAGAATTCTTAAATTTTAATTGTGACGACTTATGTGGCTCACTTATTGTGATTTCATCTCATTAGGTAATTGTGGTTCGAAACATTGGAGTTTGGAACTTGGAACTAGCCACCAGTGGTATAATAAAGATGGGATAATTTATGATTTTTTTTTTTAAAAAAATAAATTTTGACTTAGAAAAGTTATATGTATATATATAACAACTCAAATGGTAAGTTTTGAGTCGTTATAGATTGTATGAGAGTGGGTCTACGTTTCCTAGACTCTTTTTACCTAAAAAATTTATAAGTTACTGTTCATAGTAAAATTTTATGGATATAAATATGATTATGTTAAGATATTATTTCAAAAAAAAAAAAAAAATCTGATTTATTGTTTCTTGGACCACTACTACTCGACACTATGTTCCAAGCTTTGATTTCCTCAAATCAGGTAAAAAATATGACAATTCATAATTATTTTATGTTATGTGAGTAAGTATGAATATGCATAAGATTATGTTAGAATTATGCTTAATTATGAAATATGCTTAACTAAGTATAATTTTTCACTTCATGTGTTATGCAATATAGCAATCACAAAATTTCTAACACTAGTGATGTAGCAAAATATGGATATAAATTATGATTTTTTGTATATATCTTAATTACAAAAATTCATTATGGATATTTTAAGTTATGAGAATTTTAATTTTATAAAATTATGTGATTTTAAGACTAGTAATTACAAGAAACATATCAACTAATGTTAAAGTTGACCTTAGAAAATTAACAGATTAGATAGTAGAGTCTAATTTGGAAAGTTATATCTTTAAATATTTTTATTCCCATTTTATTTTTAGAGTTTTCTTGGTTAGCATATTTGCAAAATTGAAAAGTTTTATCAAAAAGACATAAACCACGTCCAAAGAGAGTTTATGATTTAAGTAGTCCACTTGTGACCCCATTCACCTGAAAGAGTTGTAGTTGAGCGTTATTCAAATCAATGAAACGAAACCATTATTACAAGCTCGCTTCAAATTTTAGCATTGTATTATTTAGAAACCTTTATTTTCAAAAACTTTTAAGAAAATTTTATTTTAGAAACCTCTATTTCAAAAATTACTATCTTATGAAACTTCTATTTTAGAAATCCCAATTTCATGAAATTTTCATTTTGAGATGCATCTATTTTGAGAAACTTTTATTTCAAAAAAAAAAAAAAATCATTTTTAGAAACTTTCATTTTACGAATATTCCCAATTGTTTGACGATGACATCTTAGGTAATTTTTGAGGACAAAATATTATTTTAAGAGAGGTAGATTATAATACCCCCAAGATATTTTAGTCGTTAATTATGAAAATTAGGACCTTGGTGCAAAGTGATGAAAGTTAGGAAATAAAATTGCATATCGGTCAATAGTTGAGGGACTGCAAGTACAATTTCCTGAACTTTATATATGATATGAATATATATGTATGTATTCTTCAAGGGTTCAACTACTTCAAAAAGAGGCAAAATCTCTTTTAGTGCCTAAAGAAAGTATTTTATTTCAATTTACCCATAATTTTAAAGTCTCATGGATATTTTGTTGGGACTTTTTTATAGTTCAAAATTTCGAAATCAATCAAAAAATTATTGATCAGTATTCTCCAAAAAGAATTGTTAGAAGATTCAAAATAAAATAGTGGTCTAAGTTTCACGAGACAAATTGTTGTCCGAAAATAGTTGAATCTTGGATAAGACAAAAGAATAATGAAGAATTTCCTCAAATTTCAAAGAAAAAGAACAAATTCATGCTGACTTTCTTACTGAAAGAATAGACTTTTGACTCTTCTTGCTCAATGTACTAATCCTGAAGGAATGACCATTCTAGCAGAAAAAATTGCTTCTCTTACCGAAAATACTTCAAAAACTTCAGTTCAAGAAATTTCTTCTGAAGAAAGTTCAGAAGCAGACTTTGATTATTTTCAAAATGAAGATTATTGCTATGGAATTGATCTTAATGCAGCCATCGAAGAAGAAGATCAAAAGACTAAATGACAAATAAACAAAGTTATCTCGATGAATTAAGAAGATTTCGTATTCATCATTCAAGACTGATTCTCTCAAAGATTTGCCTCTCTAAAGAATGGATCAAATTAAACAAAAGAATCATTAACTTTATTAAAGTAAAACTTTTGAAAAGAAAGCATCTTCTTTATCAAAAGTTTTACTTTAGTCAAATCTTCTTTTGATCCTTCTTTTGATATGTCA